ACAAAATTAAAAAATGGGCCAAAGACCTTAATAGACACCTCACCAAAGATATACAGATGGCAAATATGTATATGAAAAGAATGCTCTACAATATATGTTATCAGGAAAATACAAATTAAAACAACAATTAGAAACCACCACACATCTATTAAAATGGCCAAAATCCAGAACAGTGACAACACCAAATCATGGTGAGGATATAGAGCAACAGGAATTCTCATTCACTGCTGGTAGGAACACAAAATGGTGCAGCTACCGTGGAAGATAGTTTGGCTGTTTCTTACAATACGAAATATACTCTTACTATGCTCCAGTAATCATACTCCTTGATATTTACCCAAAGAAGTTGAAAGCTATGTCCACATAAAAACCTGCACACAGATGTTTATAGCAGCTTTATTCATAGCTGCCAAAACTTGGAAATAACCAAGATGCCCTTTGGCAGATGAATGAATAAATAAACTGTTGTACATCCAGATAATTTAATATTAGCCATCACTAAAAGCCAATAAGCTATCAAGCCAGAAAAAGACATGAAGGAATTTTAAATGCATATAACTAAGCAAAAGAAGCCAATCTAAACGGCTACATTCTATATGATCCCAACTATATAATATTCCTGAAAAGGCAAAACTATGGGGGGGGGGGGGCAGTAAAGAGATCAGTGGTTGCCAAGGGTGGGAGTGGAAACAAATAGGCAAAGAACAGAGGATTTTAGGGCAGTGAAAATTCTCTGTATATTATAATGATCAACATATGTCATTATATATTTGGCCAACAACAGACTTTAGGTGATTGTATGTCAAAGTAGGTTCATCCTTTGTTTAAAAAAAAAAAAAAAAAGCAACATTCTGGTGAGTGAGCTTGATAATGGGGGAGGTTATGCATGTGTGGAAGTAGTAGGCCCATGGAAAAATCTCTGTACCTTCCTCTCAATTTCACTGTAAGCCTGAAACTACTCTAAAATAAAGTCTTTAAAAAAATGTTCAAGGAACTGAAAAAAAATATGCTTAGAAGAACTAAAGGAAAGTATAAAAAATGACTCACAGTCTTATTTGACTATAAAAATAATCAAATGGAAATTATGAACTGAAAGGTGCAAGAAAAAAAAAAGAAAAATTCACTAATAGGCTCAACAGATCTGAGCTAGAAAAAAGAAATAATTAGCAAGCAGATAGAGATTATTAAATCTGAAGAACAAAAATTAAAAATAGCCCTGACCAGGTAGCTCAGCTGGTTAGAGTATCATCCCATTCACCAAAAGGTTGCAGATTCCATTCCCGGTCACGGCAGATACCTTGGCTGCAGTTCTCTACCCAGTTGGAGTGCAGGTACAACAGACAACCAAGTGATGTTTCTCTCTCACATCGATGTGTCTGTGTCTATCTGTCTCTCTCCCTTCCTCTCTCTCTCTAGAATCAATTAAAAACAAAACAAAAAACCATATCCTAGGGTGAGGATTAAAATAAATTTTACAAATAAATTTTTAAAAAATTAAAATAAAGAAAAATGAACAGCACCTCAGAGATCTGTGGGACACCACCAGCTTATCAACATGTGTGCAACAGGAATCCCAGATGGAAAAGACAGAGAAATAGATGAATCTGCTGTAACAGTCATAAATCACTAAGAATCCCTTTTTACTTCAGTGTTTTTTTGGTTTGTCTTCACCATTATACACTAGCAGAAAGATACAATCCATTCCCACCCATGCTTAACTTTTGTGTCGTAATTTCAAAAATGTTTGTACCTCCACCTAGAACACTCTCCTTAGTGCTCTCCACTGATCCCAAGTTGAGACTTTATAGTCTTTCATGTAACTGTATTTAGTAACATCAGCCCACACTGGTCTTACCTCTTAGAGAGCCTTCTTATCTTTCAGTGGGGTTAAAAATATCTATACCTCAGTAGTTTTCTGTGATAACAAAACTACCAAAGAAAGTATAAAAATGACTAACATATTATCTACTATATTTTATAGTGTTATATAGTCTATCCTTTACGTATTTTATTTTTCTACATAATTTATAAAAATTAGAATTCAGAAAATCTGAAACTGATTCCTGAATTAGTCACTAATCACAGTGTCACCTTGGTCAAGTTCTTTAACCTCTAAAGCTTACTGTTTTCTCCACTGTAAAATTAGAGTGCTATACCAAAAGATGGTTTTCTATGAATTCCATGAGTTTCTGTCCATAACAACTGCAATTTTAACATTCGCTATTGACTAGCATTTCTGAATTGTCAGCATCATAACTTTTGCACTTTGGGGCCATTATTAAGTAAAATGAGGGTTAGCTGCACACAAGCACTTTGATATCACAACAGTCAATCTGAAATTTGAAACAGCCACTATGTGACTAACGGGTAGCATATATAGTGTGTATATGCTGAACAAAGGGATAATTCATGTCCTGAGCAGGAGAGCAGGAGATTTCAGCACGATACTCAGAACAGTACATCATTTAAAATTTATAAATTATTTATTTCTGAAACTTTCCATGTAGTATTTTCAGACCACAGTTGAGCACGGTTAACTACAACTGCACAAGAGAAGGGACTACTTTAAACTCTAATAGAAAATAAGTAAGTAGCTCCCTCTTTGGAACATCACTGTGGATTATGATTTTATTATTCACTACACAATTCCTCCCCAGAAAAGAAACCAATGTCTCACATAAGAATGCAAGAGGAAAAGGAAGCTCCACCAGTTAAATATTAAGTTCTCCTACTGAGAAACCCTAAAAAACCATAAAAAGACATTCATTATCTTTTTTTTTGTTTTGGTTATGTACACAAAACCACACATGTAACACATTACATACTAAAAAGCAAAGAAGTTAGTGGAATCACATCCCAAGAACAAACATCCAACAGGCACAGAACTGAAGAGGATGTGGAGAGTTGAGTACAACCAGGAAAGAAATGTGGCCCCTCATAGTTGGGGTACAAGATGTGCTGAAGAGTACAACATTCTGAAAGTCGACAGAGTTGAAATGGAAGTCAGAGTCCAGATAAGACTGATGAAAAGAAAAAAGAAACCAGGGAAGTAGAAGGTAAGACTCAAATGAAGGACTTCTCAGGAAAAGAAGATCTGGAGCTAACCAATACAAGGAAAAGAAGTCAAAGACTGCTAATGGCACCTGTTCAGCGGCATCATGAGCAGAGCCCAGTGAACGGCAAGCGGTCAAGTGAAAAAAGGAGGCAATGAAATAAATACAGGCAGTGAAAAAAAAACAATTAACTGTATCCATGCACTAGAACATACACTTGACAAGAGAGAAATTTCTGCCATTTCCATCCACTGCTATATGCCCAATATCTTTAACAGGAACTGGCACAGAGTGGGCACCTATTAATTTTGTAAGTGAATGAATTTTTCCCGAGGCCAACTTGTTCTGTAAGATTTGGGGGTAAATGAAATGTAAATGCTTAGAAGAAAGTTGAAATTGCACTCACAGCAAAGTTCTGTGACACTATAGTGTGGCAGAACTGACTCACATTCAAACCTGTCACAAAAACTGTCCTGGCAGGAGTGGCTCAGTTGGTTCAGTGTCATCTCATGCACTGAAAGGTCATTGATTGGATTCCCAGTCAGGGCACATACACAGGTTGCAGGTTTGATCCCCATTTGGGGCATGTATGGGAAACAACTGATCAATGTTTCTTTCTCTCTCTCTCTCCTTTCTTCTAAAATCTATAAAAACATATCCTCAGCTGAGAATTGAAAAAAAAAAAAAAAAATCTGTCACAATTTTTCACCATTTCTCAAAAAAAAACAGAAAAAGATACACTCATGGTAAAAGGGTTGCTACAAAGAAACACTAATCAGTTGTTATTTCACTTCAGAAATTCAAAGATCTCATGGCCTCAGATTTATATTTCCCCTGGTCAAGAAAATAAAAGATTAGAATTAGGGGAAAAATAACTAAATAGGTGCACACTTTCCTTAGAATTCAAAACATAACTACATTTCAAAAGTTTACTTTACTGGTTTATCATACCAAGTAGATATATAATAGCAATGTAAAATTTTATCCAAATAAAGAATATCATTTTCTATTTTCTGTACAACATGCAATTGTGTAGGGACAAAGGAGGTTTGGATTAGATATCAGATTTAATACCACAGATATTTTTAAGCTCACAAACTGCTCATGTTAAGTTTTAAAATGCAGTAAGTTTTAGGATTTTGAAACACTTGTCTTTACAATGTACAATGTTTAGATAGAAGCTCTCCTCTAATTTCATGCTATTTGATATTTTTATATACACATATATGTATACACACACACAAACACACAATCCCAGGAAAGACTATGTTAAGACACAAAGAAACTACATTGATCTAAAATACAGTCTACTCCAAATATAAGTATAATGGCATTCAATGCACATAAAATCTTTAAGACACATTATACACCTTTTTAAAAACTCATTTTTGAAGATTTATAATGGTATGGTGCTATAATCACAATATCAAGTTATGTGACAAGAACAGGTACAAATGCATATATATAATATGTAAAAATATATAAGATAAAACATAGATTAAAAGGAAATATACCACATTATTAATGGTGGTTACATGTGTGGGACAGACCATGACTTATATTTTTATATCCTTATCATATTCTCAGTAATTTACCTATCTTCTATATTACTGAGTTTTAGACACATTCAAAACACAAGGTATTCTTTTTTTTTTTTATCCTCACCCGAGGACACTTTTTCATTCTTTGTTCAGATAGAGCAGGAGGGAGGGAGGGAGGGGGGGAGAGAGAGAGAGAGAGAGAGAGAAACATCGATGTGAAAGGGACACACCGAGTGGCTGCCACCCGCACGACCAACCAGGGCCGGGGACAAACTGCAACCGAAGTACGTGCCCTTAGCGGGAACCGAACCCGGGTCTCTCCGGACCGCAGGCCGACGCTTTAACCGCTGAGCCAAACCGGCCAGGGCCACAAGGTATTCTTTAAAAATGTTTTGTGATTACTCACCACATTGTAATAGCTTTTGTTAATGGCAGTCGTATCGAATCCTTTGGGAGGGCTCTTCAGTGTCCCAGATTTGGGAGACACGGGCTTTTCTGAAATAAAAATGTAATGTAGTTTTACTGATCAAAACTAGCGATAACCAAATGCACCAGCCCCCATCCCCATATAGCCCAATGTGACTGGTCCAGCAACCTCAACTGAAATCTACCAAAAAGGGGAAACTAAACAGAAGGCCTGCATGCCTCTGGGAGACACCACAGTGCCCACATCTCCCTCTCATGTTCAACAACCTGAGATCAGGAAGCTGAGTATATAGTAAAGATAAAATGTTACCCAGACAGAATTAGAGAAAATGTTGACAGGTATGTGACAAAATTAAAACATCAAGACCCACGGTCTGGACTATATTTCAGGGATTCTGATCACTCAGAATGCAAATCTCTCTAAACAAAATGGTCTGACTCAAAAGCTACAAAGGAGAAGCCCAGACAAACGGGCAAAGCCCAGAAAAAACTACACTGCCTTTAGAACTTCCACAAAAGTGACAATAAAAGCTGTCATGAATACTGCAAGGATTCAAATAATTTTTAAATTGCATGACTTTCATTCAATATCCATTCAAGGGATGTTAAGCATAATCAGTACTGAAGAAGTGCTTGCTGATAACATGCTCTCAGAATGTGTGTGTGTGTGTAACACTGGTTCTATGGGGAAGGGTATGTCTCTCTACCATTAGTTCTATGTGTGAGTTTGTCTATCATTGGTTCTATGGAATGGGTATACCTATCACTGGTTCTGTGGAGTGGGTGTGTCTGAGAGCTAAAAAGTAATACAATCCACTATTACTGAGGCGTGGTAAAATGGTGAGAATATAATTTAGTGCTACCTTTCTAGGGTCCAACTGAAGAAACAGGTCTTCCCTTTCTTGCAATAAACTATAAGAATGCTAAAAACAACAGAACTTAAACAGAGAGATGTGTTAAAAGAAAAAGGGAGTGGTGATTCCATAAGTGCCAAAAGTAAAAGGGATGAAAAACACTGGCAATGACAGTGTGGGGCCTGTGTGGGGTGAGGGAGGGTGGCCCCAGGGTCTGTGGTACAACCAGTGCAGGAATAAAACAGCCCTGGTGCAACCTGGGCAGGGTAAAATGGGATGGATCTCTTGGTGACCTGTATGACTGATGAAAAGAAGCCTACAAGCTTCTATCCAAGCTTCTTCTCTGATAGTCCAGAGGAACAGCAAGGAAATGTGCTGGCTACTCAGGGATTGGGTACACAAACATTCAGAAATCAAAACCCAGAGTCTGTCCCTGCCAAGGTGCATCCCAAATCTACATTATGCTCCTGCGGGACTACAAAGATTTACATAGCACAACAAAACCTCTGGGAATCCCCCAGGAAGCAAATGTACTCCTCTCTGCAGGAATACTTCAGTAATCCAGGGTACAAAGGTATCCCACTGAACCACCATCCATTCCACACACCAAAAAAGAGTGAGGGCTAGAAAACACACTTACTTCCAGCAATGCAAAAGAAACCCACCAAGGTTCTGTTACATGTGTCCCTTTTCCTGCACATAAAATATTTATATCAAACGCTGTTCTTTCACAGCTAAATAAATAACGGTGTCCAACAGCTTGCATTTTATGTCACTTTTTGATGTCAAAAGTAAATAGAAAATATTAAAAGTGACAAACTTAGGAAGTGGCAGTGTGATTACTCATTAAAGATTTGTGGATCAGCAAATGACAGTCACATCACTGCCACACACAGATTATTATTCATCATCTCAAGCTAACCAGCACCTACAGTAAGGTGTTTTTTTTAAAAAAAGAAAGCCTTTACTATACATATAATGAGCTACCTAGAAATGGAGAAATTAACTCAACGCATCAGAAAAAAATCATTTGGAAAAAACCTGGTGAATGTGTATAAAAACATGAAATTGTACTTGTGAGGAGAACATGATTTGTTCACCCAGCCAGCTTAGCCCTCAATGGGATTCATTTTCCAACTGCATGCTCCTCATCACACTGTCCACTAATGACTGAGAGCCTCCATGCTTACTTAATAAAGCAGCAACCACTCACTCCCAGAACCAGCCCTGTTGCTTCTCTTTCTTCCATCTCCCTTGAATTTAAGAAATCCTCTACTGTGTGTGTGTAAAACATATATATATGTCTGTGTGTATAAAATGTGGCAGATATCCATGGGTTTTACATAACAAAAAAATGTGTACAGAAAATAAATGCTAAGTAAGAATGATATATCTTCCATAAAATGGTAGATTCAGAAAGAATACAAATGCATTTGTAGCAAGCATTAGAAATACCCTTATACAGACTCTTAGAAGATACTTGTCTTTAAAGAGCAACAATTTCAAACAAGATACTACAAACAGGTCAAAGGCACAAACACATGAAACCTGACCAGAACACTGCCATCTTCCTCCACAAGAGGGCAAACAATCATGGTTAAGTATACTTCCTCAAGAAGTGGGAGAGAGAAACTGGACATGCTTGAGAACTTGCTTGAAGATACACAGCCCAAAAGATATCACTTAAAGGTCAAGACCTCAGTTTTGTATATAAAATATTTGTAAATCAAATCAAAAGAAAAACCCACAATTTAAAGGAAATCAGTTTTTTTTTGATTCACAAGGAAATAACCTAACAAGATCACCAGTTAGAGGAGTCTTGTATGTTTAAGACCTGGCACATTTTACTTACAGCAAATGAAGCATTAATTACACTGTAAATTACAATGCTAACATCATACACACATTTCAAAAGAACAAATCCTATTCCAAAATCAGAAAACCACATAAATTACTGAAATGATGCAATACTAAAAAATTATTGTGATCTTAGCATTTTATTCTCCATTGTTATAAAGTAATGTGGTAAAATATGTGGTTTTGTGTATTTGTCTCAAATGCTGACATTAAAAATCAGACGGAGTAACTTTCCTTAGAATATACCCAGGTAATTTGAAAACACTAGAGATAAAAAGTTATACCCAAAAGAAATTACTCCTTTGGTTCAACTGTCACATAAAAAATAATTAGCACACTAGATCACCAATATGAGACAATGTTACTCCTTATAACTTAAAAAATAAACCGAGGAAAAAAAGTTTCCAAAGTTACCTGAATATGTAAACTATGGAGTCCATGTGACACGCACCAAGAGCCCTTGAACAACAAATGCAGTTACATACACTTGTTTACAAGGGCCTGGCGAGGGGTAAAGGGGGGTGGGTGGGTGGCTGCGCAAGCGCGCGTGTGTGTGTGTGTGTGTGTGTGTCACACACATGGAAACCCAGAGTAAGATGGGAATTTCAGGCAGAACAAAGTGATGCAGTCACTCTTGCCATAAACAGACACTTAAAAATATGTGATGGTTGGTTCTTCTTGTTACCAGAAAGGGGACCTGGCACTGAACAGGTCTCCCTAGGGCCAGCCAATAGTGCGTGGGTTCCTGACTTCGTGCAGGAAAACTTCACAATGCGAATACAGGTGAATTTTAGAGGACATTTATTAAAGCTGGAGATAGTAAAACAAGAAAGGGCTGGGGAAGTGAGGCTAGGCTGGTCTGCTTTAGCTCACTAAGAAGTCAGAGAAAAGGGGGCCTTGGGGACAGGTTCAGGGGGTTTGTCTGGGATGAACTGCAGTTCGTGGGTTCCCTTAGAGTTTAGGAGATGCATATCTGTGGGGGAAGCAGGGGACTTAGCAAGGGCATGCTTCCAGGAGGGAGAGCGCATACTGGACTTTCATTTTGATGGGTTTTAAAGGCTAGGCATTTAGGGGAGGTCTTAAGAGGAGGATTTCAATAGAATATTCATCCATTTTATGCTGATGTACCAAAATGAGGTTTATTCTCTTAACTTCATTTGTCTATGGGTGTAGTTGGCAAATTGCACTAATTGGATTTATGCTATCAGTTTCCCTGGGTGGGTTGAGTTAAACTACCTTCTGGTTGGGGAGAAGTGTAAGCCATTCACTCCTCTTACATGTCCCTGGTTTAGGAAAGACAGGATTACTAGATGGCTGTAAACTGCTGTGCTGTTTGTCTCAGTTTCCCTGTTCTCATTCTTAGAGCTTAATGGCCTGTCTCATTCTTAGAGCTGCATCTGTCCCCACCATTTCTCAGGTCCCACACTCCACTTCAGAAATGGGACTTGAGAGCAATCAGTCCATGCTACCCTGCTGAACTTCACTGTTGGTAACAGTGTGCTGTGAAACCAACTACAGTTGAGCCTTCAACAACAGGGGTTTGAACTGCATGGATCCACTTTTTGTGTAAATTTTTGTCCATAAATACTGTAAATATATATTTTCTTAATAACATTTTCTTTTCTCTAGCTTACTTTACTATAAGAATACAGTATATAATACATATAACATACAAAATATGTGTTAATCAACTACTTGTTATCGATAAGGCTTCCTCCCTTGGGTTTTTGGCCAGGCAGATGTTGGCAACCCTTACCTCATGTTGTTCAAGAGCGAACTATATTACCAAGAGATGACACTGATGACAGTCAAATTAATTTGAAAATAACTCTCAGAAGTCACCTTAAGAAAACTTTGAGACCCACAAATTCTGTCTAGTCAAAGTAGCAAAGGTTAACTTTGAAAACTCCATTAGAGTAACTGAAAAGTACAAATTCATTCATTTGTATTCTATCAGACCAAAATCCCCATTTAAATGAGTCATTTACAGCAGAATTCAAGAAAGCCCAGATTCAGCAGATAGCTGCCCATTCAGCAGGCTCCACTCCTAATGATGTACCCATTACCAGCTCTGTGACCTCCTGACAGCATGCCCATTACCAGCTCTGTGACCTCTTGATGGTGTGCCCCATTATCAGCATTATGCCCTCCTGATGGTGTGCCCATTACCAGCTCTGTGACCACCTCATTTCCACTGGTAAAGGGAATTACCACCTCATCCTTCCCCTCCCTCCTTGACTCCTACATCCTCCTGAAAAAGGCCCAAGTGCTGTTCTCTTGTTCCCAGGAGAAAAATGAATCACCAGAATGGGAGATTAGCCAAGTAGCTGATCTCAGAGCCTGGACTCAGACTGCTCCAGCCCTCAATGATGAGGGCCAGTACTGGGGCTGTTCAGCTGTCCCATGGACTGACCAGGTCCAACCAAGTTACAGACTAAGCCACATTTCCCAACAGTTGTGTCTATAAAGTCAAAATGACATTTCCATTCCGATCAACTTGATACCATTACCATGCTCTCAGCTAGTTCTAGACTTAGATAGATTAAAAGAGTATTATTTATTTGTACCGTATGCCCTGAATATCCCAGCAATACTTGCCTATTTGTGAATGAGGTCACAAATACAAAGCACTTTATATAATAACCAGAACATAATAAGCAACCACAAAATCTTGACTATTATTAATTTTATTATAATAATGATAAAAAATACCGTTTTTATTATCAACAACCACAGAAAAATAGCAATGAGATACTAGTTCATACCCATCAGGATGGCTACTATAAAAAAAAGTATTGGAAAGGATGTGGAGAAATTAGAACCCTTCTGTATTGCTGGTGGGACTATAAAACGGTGCAGCTGCTGTGGAAATAGCATAGCTGCTTCTCAATATGTAACAATATTACCACATGAGCTGCCATTCCACTCCTAGGTATATACCCAAGAGAACTGAAAGCAAGGACTCAAACAGATAACTGCATACTTATGTTCATAGCAACATTATTCATAATAGCCAATAGATGGAAACAACCCAAATGTCCAGCAACAGATGAATAAACAAATGTGGTTGTAAAATAGAATATATATTATCTCTGCCTCCAGTCATGGCACAGAGCTAACATCCTTGTAATTTCCTAAGTGATAAGAGCACTAGGAGCATCTTTTGTTCTACTGAGGTGACTCTCTGGGTCAGCTCCTGGATGGGGGCTGGTCACCAGAAAGAGAGCAGACAGCCATGATTAGAAGCCTGGAATTTTTAGCCCCACCCCCTTCCCTTAGGAAGGGGAGAGGGGCTAGAGATTTGACTTGATGATCAATCATGCCTATGGGATGAAACCTCCATAAAAACCCCAATAGTATGAGATTCAGAAAGCTCCCAGGTTGGTGAACACATCTACATGCTGGGAGGGTGGCACACCCTAATTCCATAGGGACAGAAGGTTCTGCTCTCGGAAACCTTCAGAACCTCCCCCTATGTGCCTCTTCATCTGGCTATTCATCTGTATCCTTTATTATATAATAAACCAGTAAACATAACTAGAATTTCCTTGAGTTCTGTAAGCCATTCTAACAAATTATCAAACCCAAGGAGAGGGTCATGGGAACTCTGATTTATTGCCAGTTGGTGAGAAGTCATTATACCCCCATTGTGGGGGTAAAGTAAAAAAAACCAATTCCATTGAACAAAAAAGAACAGGGAAGAATTTGAATACTCAGCCGAGGGTGATTTACACAATTTCAACAGAACAAAAGCACTTATATATTCAGTATATTCATTTCTTTCTGTTCCTTCTCACCCTAAAGGAAAACCACCAGTCCCTTCTGCCAATGCTCCACTTACCACTGGGCTTGATCTCTCGCACATAGTTGCTGGGGAACCAGCCAGTCCTGCCGTTGTGTGTGCCTTCCCACCAGCCCCCTTCCTCCACTCGAGTGACATGGATGACATCTCCTTTCGTAAAGGAAAGCTCATCTTCATTTGTCTGCTGGAAGTTAAACTTTGCTCTTACTACCAGTTGATTGTTGCTGTTATCGGTCATGTCCTAAAAAAGGAAGAGAAGAAGAAAAATTTCATGTAGTCTTAGTCATTATAAAATAATTACATAGTTCACTATTATAAATGTAGTTTGATTACTGTAAACAGCAAAGGAAGGTTTAAATTTGATAAATAAGTTTCCTATCTCCCACTCCACAACCTCCTTGTGCACCTTGACCACTCTACAACCTCCGTTTCCAGTCCAGGAGAAAACTCTCTTAATGGCTTAAAAGGTCTTATTCCTGTCATTACTATGTACAATTTTCACATGCATTTTTATGAAATTATATTATACATACTTCTCTACAACTTATAAAAAGTTAATACACTGGAGTCATTTTTTTCAGCAGTGCTTATAATTACTAGAGTTTTCACTACCTTTATGGCTATACCATTATTTATTTAACCAATTCTCCATTACTGGATTTAAGACTATTTCTAGTATTTTTCTACTGCAAAGCAAGACTGCATTAAAATTATATGCACATCTATCTTTGAACATACCTGTAAATAAGCCTATTATGTTAAATTCAGGTCACTGAACATATATGACATATTTTAAATTTTTATATCTATTTACAAATTGACCTCCAAAAAATGTTCCACAAACTTACACCAAGCTACACTCTGACCAACACAGTATCTAACCAATACTGAATATTGTCAAGGGTTTTTATTTTTGCCAAACTGATGGGGAAAAAAAATGGTACCTCATTTTAGTTTGCATTTTTCTCAGAGATTAAGCATATTTGCAGATCTCTGAAACATGAGAAGAGAAAAGAAGACTGGCTAGAGTTTCCTTTTATCTCAATCTGTATCCCAGAATGGGTGTTGGAGAGGCTTGCAACCCAAAACACCATAAGAGTAAACAAACAAAATCCCCAAGAAAATCGTGCCCTCCTGGCCAAAGGAGCAGCAAAGAGTCTACAGGCAATGACAGTGGGTGCTGGCACTCAGCCTGCACCTGGGTGTCCACACAGACTGAGTAGGACATCCCACACACCACCGAGCACCAGCACTCCACCTTCACAGGTGACATTAGCAAAAATCAGACAGGGATTCCCAGCCTCCACCCCCACCAGGTGGTAGCAGGCTGCAGAATCTTCAAATCTTTGAACAAGACATCCTCCCCTGCCCCCTTGCATTCCACCTAGCCTCAGGGGACAACCCAGGCCCAGAATCTCCCCACCTTCCATCCAGCCTCTCAAGAGGACCAAGACCCCAAATCTTCCCCCAATCCTCTCAAGCCCCTCCCCCTGTCCATCAGGAACCCCAATGACACTAGGAAGAGAGCCTGACCAGACATAACTGAAAGGGGCTCTGGAAGCCCTTTCTGAAGGGGTTACTGTCAATGAAACGATAGCCTACTAACCTAGGTCAGGAACACACACTAAACCCAGTTAATGAGCTGTTAATACACAAGATTTAAGTAGGATCTAGCATCTCCCACCTAAGGCACTCTCCAAAGTCTCCAGGATACAACAGAAAACACTCTTCATCCTGAGAACCTGGAAAATCACAGCTTAAATGAGAAAAGACAATGATACCAACATCGAGATGAAGCAAATGCTAGGATCATCAGAAAGGATTTTGATTATCAAAAGGCCTCAAAAAGCAATTACAAATTTTCTCAATGTAAAATAAAATAGAAAATCTCAGTAAAGAAACAAAACTTATGAAATTTATTCAAACTGATAGAGTGAAAACAAACAAACAAAAAAATAATGACCAGAGCTCCAGGGACTTGTGGGAAATAATGAAGATCTGAGACTGATACCATCAGAGTCCTGGAGGAGAAACGAAACAGCACTGAAAAGTGGTATAATGAATATGGTTGAAAACGCCCCAAATTTTGTAAAAAACACAAACATACAAATTCAAGAAGCTGAGTGAACACCAAACAGGATTAGCCTAAAAGAATCCAGACCAAGTCACATCATAATTAAACTTCAAAAAACTAAAAACAAAGAAAAAAATCTTAGTTAAGGATAAAAAGGACATCTGGATATTCGAGATCTCAAAATCTACCTCCCATGCACCCTTTCTCAAGAAGTTAGTGAAAGATGTGCTCCTTTAAAACAGGCGAATTATCGAAGATAAAAATGATGATGGAGAGAAAGTGGTAGAGATGACTCAGGTCACAAGGAGTCTGCAGGACAATGATGAAGAAAACCTCAGAGAGGGCAGCTGGCAAGATTCTGGCTGACAACCAAGAGACTCAAGTGGGCTAGAAGATGACTTCAAGTTCTTTAGGAAAAGGAAAGTGAAAAATACTAATACGTCTGAATGTACGAGATTAGAAAAAGGCAAAAGATTAGGACTGCAAACTGCAAAAGGTATACAGAGAATTAAACAAACAGGCAACAATTATTAAATCCAGAAAACAAAAAGCTGTTAAGGAAGAAAGAAGAGTCACAGCATAGAGCATGTCTCCATTATGAGTCTGAGTCTAATAATGTTATACTAAACACTGACCTAACAGAAGCCACAATGGAACTCATGAGGAAGAGGAGCTGGGAAGCATTTATGCAGTTAAGGAGCTCAGTGGCAGTGGAAGAGCCCTAATCATCTTCTTACACTGTGGGAAGTCCACATTGCTAACACTTCAAGTTAAAAAAAAAAATCAAGCTTAAGCCCTGGCTGGTTTGGCTCAGCGGTTGGAGCGTCGGCCTGCAGACTGGAGAGTCCCAGGTTTGGTTTCCACTAGGGGCGTGTGCCTCAGTTGCAGTTTGTCCCCGGCCCCGGTTGGGGTCATGTGGGCGGCAGCCACTCAATGTGTCTCTCTCATGTCGATGTTTCTCTCTCTCTTCTTCCCTCTCTCCCTCCTGCTCTATCTGAAGATAGGTACAAAAATGTCCTCAGGTGAGGATGAAAAAAAATTTTTTTAAATCAAGCTTAATACAGACATATTATTTAGAGACACACAGGCATAATAGCTAAAGAATCAAGGATAAAAGTGGAAAGTTGTTGTCTCTACTGATTTTTTTCCCTAATATCAAGTCTTGGAGAATTACTTGCCTGACTCCTTAAACTAGATACATGTATCACTGAACATAAAGATAAAAAAGATAAAAGCACAAAAACAGTGTTAAGGCAGATCTTCAAAAAGAAGACCTGAAAGAATTCCTAAAATATTTAATGCTTATCTATTTAAATACTAAACTATTTAGCTATTCTACACTATAAATACTATACTATAAATATTTATATATTCTATTATAAATATTTAATAACTCAAATACATTGAATATTTCTCTAATAAATTATTTAATGTATACTTAATATTTAATACTTAGAATATTCAATAAAGAAACTTCTTTTGACAGCTGGCAATGAAAGCTCTGGCTGACACTGTTACCTCAAACATAGTGCCTGCTAGCACGCTTAAATGGTGAAGGGTAGGATAAAGCCCGCTTGTCCATGTGAAACTCACATTTGGAAAAATGGCACATGTTTTTCCTTGTTCTGGTTCAGTGAAACATTATCAGGCTTACTATGCTGTATCAGGTTCTCTCTTTCTGTAAACCACTGTCCTCACTCATCAGCTGTCTACTGTGATCTTCGTTATTCTCCTTTCTTGTGACTTATCCTGGCTTTGTGTAAAAGCTCACAGCCAATCCTGGTGATAAATTCCCACAACAGAATACAACATATAATAAATAAATTAATAGAGCATGCCCCTAAGGAAGTCAAACTGCTCCTGGGTGACCCTACTGCCCAGCCCATCCACCTCAGCTCAGCAACCAGCACTGAGACCATTTCTCCACACAAGTTTGGCCTGAATGTAAGTCAAGGCACAGTGGTATCTTGTCAGGACCTTATAAACGAGGTAAATTACATTCTCCCTACACTTATGAACTCTCTATACTCAAGGCACAAGTTAGGCAAACACCACTGACACCTTCTCTGCTTCAGAAACAGACAGTCCACTAAGGAAAAAACAGGTAGATGTTTGAGAGGAGGTGGAAGAAAGGCATAAAGTATAAGCAGCCAGTCTAGATCCATTGAAAATTTCTGATTCCACGAGTTTCCTCCTTTCAGCACTTACTACACCAAAGGATACACAGATTTTTACACTGTTGCTCTAAGGAGTGCGGATTAGAGGGCAAGGTGCCAAAGAGGATGAAAGGAGGGCACACTACACAAACAGCTGTACTCCAGTGGCTCTCTACACCACCAGTTTCAGCCTAACATAACACTAGTGTCACAGAAATCTGGAAAGGATGTATTTAATCACTATCTTATTATTTTGGAATTTTTTCCTTCCTCTTTTTAAAAGTTCTCCTGAAACTATTCTATCTGGGTTCAACATGACATTCCACAACAGTCTAAAACATAAGGAGCTGAACAGAAGAGACCAGTTATAAAATGAATATATGCTTTAATATTCCATTTACATAAAATGCCAAACAGGTAAAACTCATCTTTACTATTAGAAATCAGAACAGCAGATGCCCTTGAGAAAGGCAGACAAAACAAAGTGGTGCCAGTCAAGTTGTCTCTTTGTTTTGTTTTGTTTATTGATTTTAGAGAGAGAGAGAAGCACTGATGAGAGAGAACATCAATTGGCCACCTCCTGCATGCCCCCCCACTGGGGATTTGGCCCATAACCTGGGCATGTGCCCTGACCAGGAATCGAACAGGCGACCTCTTGGTACATGGTTCTATGCTCAACCAGTGAGCCACACCGACCAGGCAAGTTCTGTCTCTTGATCTGAGTGCTTATACACAGGAAATGTTCAACTTGTAAAAATGTGTCATGCTGTTCGCTTAGAACACAGAGTTTTCTATATGTATGTTTCAGGTCAATAAAAATAGATGGGAAGAAATTGAAAAGGGAAAAGGTGACCCCCACCACCACACAGGGCACACACATGGTACCTCCTCTGAAAACAGTAATCTATACCCACCCACACTCACTTTTTTTTTTTTTTCAATCCTCACCCGAGGACATTTTTCCATTTTTTATTCAGATAGAGTGGGAGGGAGAGAGAGGAAGAGAGAGAGAAACATCTATGTGAAAGGGACACATCGAGTGGCTGCCACCGACACGACCCAACCAGAGGCAGGGACAAACTGCAACCAAGGTACATGCCCTTAGCGGGAACTGAACCCGGGTCTCTCTGGACTACAGGCCCGTTCTAACCGCTGAGCCAAACCGGCCAGGGTCCCACATTCACTCTTAATGGCCTCTTTCTGACTCCTCTAGTCAAAGCACCACCCATCAGTATCTCAAATATGTAACTAATCAAGTACTTTGTTTTATCGAATGTTCTGAAATTATCCTAATAATCCAGAATCCGGATATCCTGGTGTATTACCTTCACACAAACTCTACCCTCTCCTCCATTCCCTAAAAGTACTTATAATCTCATTTATAAAAGAAAAGGTTGTCAAGGAGTTAAAGACCAAATTTCTACTCCAATGGTTAACTTTTTCCCAGTCCTGTGATCTTTTATAAATATTTTAACTTCTCTCAGCTTTAGTTTCCTCACAATGTATTTCATCAAAGGTGCCAGAAATTAGATAATGTTCCGTGGTTTTATAGTCCACTCAATACTGTCAATGATAACATCAACTGTAAGACACATGCTACTTTCAGACATGTTAATTTTTTTTTAATGGTCATTGACTTGATTAAATACGGTACTTTGGAGAAGCATAGTATTTTTTATGCTTATGGTATTTTTTATGCTTATGGTAGAGAGGAACTAAACATATTTTTAAAAACCATGTGTAGCCCTGGCCAGTTTGGCTCAGCGGTTAGAGCGTCGGCCTGCGGTCCGGAGAGACCCGGGTTCGGTTCCCGCTAAGGGCACGTACTTCGGTTGCAGTTTGTCCCCGGCCCTGGTTGGTCGTGCGGGTGGCAGCCACTCGATGTGTCCCTTCACGTCGATGTTTCTCTCTCTCTCCCTCCCTTCCTTTCTCTCCCTCCCACTCTATCTGTACAAAAAAAAAATGGAAAAGTGTCCTCGGGTGAGGATAAAAAAAATAAAAACCATGTGTAATACATTTTACTGTCTTGCATGCCTTAGAAATAGATTTTGTGAACTCAATACCAGTGTTCCCAAGAGGAAGTGGGGAACATGGAGAGACGAAATGTTTTAAGAGCTGTAAGTTTCATCTCCCATAAGTGAAGGATAATGGGAACAACAACCTCACAAATATTCTCCCCAAATTTTGAGGAAAACTTCTGGAGCCCAAGGTCATATTTATTAGAAGTTAACAGATCAAGACTTAGGGCACAGCAGAGACATAAGAAATCCCAGAAGCAGTAAATAAAAGTGATTTAAGAATAAAAAAGATGAATTCAACCTTAAATATGAGAAAAACTATGACCCAAGTCAACAGGCTGGGTCTCCCCCACCTTTAATTCAGTTATGGAATCACTCTTTCTAAGGGTGATAGGTGTATCACGTAACACAGGGTCAGATAAGGAGCTCATTTTAGTGCAGGGCATTGGAAAGAGGGCAAGAAGAAACACTCCAAAGAAAGAAATAATCAGAAAGCAACTAGGAAGTGTCATAATAAAGAAGTTAAAACTTCCATTTCAATGCAAACAAAACACTACAAATTTTCAAATCTGCCTTCATCACAAGGCAGGAAATCTGTCCTAGAATAGATAGATGATGAGTTCACAGACACTGAAGTAACATTATGTGGACAACCAACACTAAGGTGGTAGTTAGATGAAGCATTCTAAGTAGAAATGGCAAGCAATTACTACAGCACCTTGAAAATAGTGATCCTTGCTTTGGGGATGGTAGTGCCTCACACAATTTCAAAGCTAGGTTTTATTTTAAGGAGATCACATAATGTTCAAGAAACTATCTTTCTATTTTAGCTTAACTTTTTTATTATGGAAGAGTTCTATCACAAAAGTAGAGAATGATAGGTATACTTCCATGTTAACATCACCCAGCTTTAAATAAACATTTTGCCATTCTTGTTTCATTATAAATTATTTTTAATACAAGAAAATTACCTCAAAGTACTATTTTTTTTTTTTTTTTATCCTCACCCGAGGACATTTTTCCATTTTTTGTTCAGATAGAGGGAGGGAGAGAGAGAGAGAGAAACATCGACGTGAAGGGACACATCGAGTGGCTGCCACCCGCACGACCAACCAGGGCCGGGGACAAACTGCAACCGAGGTACGTGCCCCTAGCGGGAACCGAACCCGGGTCTCTCAGGACCGCAGGCCGACGCTCTAACCGCTGAACCAAACTGGCCAGGGCTCAAAGTACTATTAATAACACATACAGAAACCCCTAAGAGCAAATAATTATTCTTACCCAGCATGGTAAGAGACGTCTTGCCATGTTCATTTCACTAGCAGATAACCATGTCTACCAACCACAGATACAAAAGCAGGTGAGATGACTGAGGTCTTTTTATTTCTGGTGTAACTTTAAAAATGTCTCTAGCTATTGAAAAAGTAACCCCATACTTATTGTGATCTCAGTAACATTCCTTATGAACATTACATTTAACTTTATTTTACTTCAAATTATATATTTACAATCCAGTTCTTATTTACTCAAAAACAAAAAAAGATGAAAATTGCCACGGGTAAATGGGTGAGACAGTAAATATTTCTTCACCCAAAGTTTGCTGATTTTTCTCTTACATTTTGTTCATGTATTTAATAAAGCTAATTTAAAATATTTTTTAAGTGGTCTGTGTATTTTTTTTCTTAATTTGGAATCATATCACTTCCAATACTCTACAAAATTCCTCTACCAGTAAACCCTACACTTCATGGGATTCGCTGTGAGGATTATTTGAGTTCATCCAGGTAAAGCACCTCGAACAATGTCTGGCACAGAGAAAAACAACTCAAAACAATGCTGTATTGTATAGAAAATCAGAAACAAAGTAACGGGACTTCTCTAAGAGGAAAAACAAAAATAAAGAGCAGAGGTAGCTTGAGTTCAAAAGTACTGGAATATGTAAAACTACGTGCCCCTAGCGGGAACCGAACCTGGGACTTTCTGGTCTGCAGGCCGATGCTCCAACCGCTGAGCCAAACCGGCCAGGGCAAAAACTATCTTTTCATCAGCTTTCAGTTTTTAACACAGCTTTGTGAACTAAACCCAAATTTCTTCCCCTCTTCAAAATACAGCTCTAATTAAATTAACAGTTATTTCTGTAGGATTGCCTTTAGCTTACTTAACATTTCTTTCTGTGTTAAAGTGAATAGAAAGCTATGATACCCTAAAAACACTACAAGAATCGGCCTGTCTTCAGACTCAGGTAACAAGATCATTTATGTTTCTACCATAAAATAATTTACTAGAATGCTGCATGAAAACAAAGTCATAACACTTGCTAATCAATCTAAGTGCCAATCATTCATTACCTCAAAAGACAACAGGGAGCAGTCTCATCCTGATCAGCTGATGTGATGGCCTCTTGCCACACTTTCTCCATTCAGTACTATATTTAATCTTTCTCTAGTTTCTCAGTAACAATTTCACTGTTAATCCTGTAATCTCTGCTCAGAACCTGTATCCTGACGATTTATAAATGAATGTTTCTTCACTTTCCAAGATGACTGTTAGTCTAAGTTCCTTGCCCATCTCACTACCAGCCATTATAAGGGAACCCTCCTTCATATACTGCATCCTGGCTCAGTAAAGCACTTTAGCCATGCCTTTATTAAGAGAAAAACCACCCTTAGCTCGTTCTTCTTTATACAACTAAATATTTTACAAATATGTACTTTTTATTCCTACAGTTCTATACATTAGTGCGTATCAGGTGAGAAAATACTATGCAAGTTACAAGGGAAATATTTTAAAGCACACATCTCTCTTAAACTGATTACGTATCTTAAGCTATAACACCCAAAATACACGTTTCTCAAAAGCAGTCATTAAGCATTACATTGGGATAATTTGGTGATGAGCAAATGCCAAACTCAAGTAAAGGAACAACGGGACAAAGTCAAACCACCCCTCACTCTGCAACTCTGTTAACAGAGGTATGTGCATTGTTCCAGATACACCTAAACACACTCACTTGCCCACATATTCCAATTTCAATAACCACCTTTCTCAAACTTACCAAACTTCGATACTGGCCCTGGAACAATTTTGAAGTCCGACTGTGTGAAGGCTGGGATCCCAGGGAGTCGAAAGACTTTATCCGATGAGATGAGGGCCGGGCACACACAGAGTCACTTCCCAGTCCAATGTCTGAAAAGGTCGTGAACGAAGAAAAGAGTGAGCTGAGATGCCTGACACCATGTACCCTCACTGTACACCAGACTCTAAAATGGGGCAGCCCTCAAGGGACGCACCACAGACCACAACAAAGCAGGCCATTTATGCGGTAAACAAAGCACAGATTCTGTCTGCTACAGAAATGACTTGTACTCATTCCCCAATCACCTTTCCAGAAATTAACTGGAGATAACTATTTATCAATTCTTCTCTAGTATAATTTTAAAATTTGTGAAATGTTCTGTAACATGTATTTAATACTTTCCCTTCATCTGGGTGGGGGGGCTCTCAAATTCAATTACTTAGCAGAGCACCATCCAGTATTCATTTCCAATAGATCACTACCACATGCTCACTTCTCCAGGGTCACAGTTCACATAATAAGCAGCAAGAATTAGTATTTGGCAACAAAAGGAAAAGACTTCCTTAAAACCAACAGAAAATCCCCTTGTATTTTTCAGCCACAGACCCTTCTGAGAATTATTTCAGCAAAATGAAGGCAGCCCAAGCTTTATTCACCTCACAAAGTTGTTGAAAGGATCAAAGTAAACATCTATTAAATGGCTTAATTCTCTCTCTAGACTCTCTTCATGAATAGACACTCCACTTAGGCCAACCAATAAGCAAATGTTAGCAACCTACTTCTAAGTAATTTGATTTTTTAAAAAGGACACCATAAGTAGTTTCTAAGGAAAGCACTGTTCTAAGATGCACATGCCTAGCAATGTCCTAAACCTACATGGGGAGCCTTCTGTAAAAATATCTTTAAACTGATGGTCTCCACATCTATTTTCCTGGCAGATGTTTGGATTAGCTTACGTAATGTCTTATAAAATTTTGAGTTAGTTGTCAACAACTAAAAGTCTGAAGATTCACAGGAAAACCCAAATTACCAGTTGTTCTTAAAGCACAAGCAGCACCTGGACAGCCATCCCTGAAAGCAAGTGCTATAAGGGGGCACCAGGGACAGTTCCTGAGTGCAGGGGACCTCCAAGCCACAATTGTAGCCCAAAGTGTTATGACTCAGTTCCTCCTAGACACAATGAGGTGAGTACACCCAATCTGAAGGTCCAGAACAAAAACGAGAAGAAACTGTGACAAAATAAACTTAAGAGGTTTCTTCTAATCAAAAGGGACATGGCAAAGTCTAACTTTCCCCCAGAAATTTGAAACTTAAATCTGTAAATAGAAAAATAAAAATGACCTTAAAACAAAAGAGCCACTAAGTTCTTCTTTTAGATCCACAAGATAGAACTTCTTAAAGCTCATGGGAGGGTATAGCCACTCTCAGAGGAATTTGCACAGAATCTCTCCTTGTCCTCACTTTGGTCTGGGAGCCCAGGGGGGTATACTATGTCCCCACCTCCACTCACCCCTATCTATGAGATATGACTGGGGCTCAGGACACTGAAAACCAGGCACCCCGAGTACACACCCTCATAGCCTTTAGGAAACCTAGCCCAGGTAGGTGTTTACTTTAGAGGCTACTTTATTGACTACTCCACTGTCATGATGACACCTCAAAAACAGTCACTAAATCTGCTAATAAGTACAAGTTTTAATCAGAATAAAAATCCAAAGGAAGTGCTTCTAGCTTCAAAACAGCTCATGAGTATAGCCATATGAATGAGACATTCCTCCTCTGCTATATTTTCAGGAAGTAACTGCTCTGCCTCCGGAAAGGAAAATATCTGATAGCCACCTGAGAACCTAAAAAGAAAGATTCTGTCCTAATACGGAAAAAAAAATCACAGCAAAAGTGACAACCAAAAATTTAATGCAAAAGAACCTAATTTTTTTAACTTGATAATGCTTATTTTGTCTTACTAAAAGAAAAACAAAGGTGTTTGCCTTTTGTCTTCACACCCCTCAAGTTCAATTAGAAAAGGGTCTTACCTGCTGTTACTTTATTTAGAGTCACTAAGGAACTGAGGACCTTGTTAAAATTCTGCCCCTGGTACAAGTCATTTGCATCAAATGTCTGTAAGAAAAAATTAAACAAAATTAATAGAGTCTTGTGTTGGGTGGAGGATAAACAAAATTTTTGCAGCAATGAGAAAACCACATGTAGGATTTCCAGATGAAATCATAAAGATGTGGCACAACCTAGAAGCTCAGCTTCCATTTCAAGAGGTGGGAGGTCCAACAGAATTTCCTTAAGTGTACCTTAATCCTGGGCCTGAGATCAACTCCCCACCCTCCTTTATAACCTGGAACAGGAGCCCTTCTCAGGTTAGGGAGGCAGTTCTGCCAGACCCAGTGAAAGCTGGGGTGGTTTCCCAATCCTTCCCTTCTTAGATTAAGACAAGAGATCACAGGGCAGGCAAGCTAACAGCAGCAAGAGAGAAATGCAGGCATCAGAATGGAAATGAGTAAAAGGAGGGGAAGACAAAAGATGCAGATTCCAAAAAGCGGACCGGTATGGGAGCAAGGGAGTCCTTGACCCTCAGGGCAGAGGGTTGAGGCCAGACCTGAACTGTCTAATCTGAAATTCCTCCAATCTGGGCAGCCTAGAGACAAGGGGAAAGACGAGTCAGCCCCAGCATGAGTGTGCGAGTGTGTGCAAGCGTGCAAGCGTGTGTAAGCATGTGAGCGTGCTCGCTCACACACAAGACACGGACACACACGGAAGCTGAAAACTAAGATGCATAAGCTTACTCAGAATCCTTATAGCTGGTCTATAATGTATGTGTACACACTAAAACAAACACAGAGCTCATTCCCAAATACTAGCTGAAGACCGCATATAGCTTTTCCTCACCAAATAAACCCCACACAGAAAAAAATAGTCAAATCATCTACAACTATGCCAGAAAAATTATGAAAACATTTCTTTCAAAGATGCAAATAACAGAAAGATATAGCATTTAGATAAGAAAATGTAAATAGTATTAATATACTTCAAAATTTCTCTCAGTGGGACAAAAACAAACAAACATGACTAGACATCTAGAAATGAGTATCAGTACAGGAGGACACTGACTTCCTCTCCCTTTGACTGCCACCTCTCCCCTCATTTGGTCAGTTCCTCTAACAGGTCCTGCCAGGACCCCCTCCCCCTTTCCTGTCTCCTGGCCCCCACCCCCTTTCCTGGCTAACTCTTACAGGACTTCTCCCAGCCTCATTTCCTTTATCATACTCAGGAACTCTAACCAGGCTCCGCCAGCACATTTATCACAAAGACAATTTTTTGTTCAATGTGTATATGCCACCCTAAACTGTAAAGTCTACAAAAACAGATTTTACAACACCCAACATCTAGGAAAATGGACTGCACACAATAAAAACTCAAATTATTTATTGAATAAATAAATGTACCAATCCATCCACCCATCCACCATTTAGCTACACTAAATGGCTAAGAAGAGCCATTCCACATCTGAATAATTATTGCTCTCTTTCTCAAAAAACATCTTCAGTTAATGGTCTTCTGCCTTTAATTTCTGAAATAGTAAGTAGAAATTGTCATGAGGTATGTTTAAACTTGAACAACAACAAAAAAAGAAAATCCACAGGTTGAAAACTTCAAGAAAGGAGGCTATCAAATCACTGAGTCAAGAAGGGGGAGCTGAAAACACAGCTCCCTTTTTCTAAAAGCTGAAAGAGGAAACTAAATGGTACTACAAGACTTAAAAGATGTGAATACATCTAAGCATGCTGCATACAATTACTGAAGCCCTATCTCATATAGTTGAAATACAAAATAAAGCTAATTTCATGATGCCAGATACCTCCTGTAAAGAGAGATAGCCTTCAGAACAGTCTAATAATCATCTTATACAATTTAATTCATTTATTCTTATACCTATTTTTTAAGAAATTCAAAGTCAAATGAGAGCATTATCTAGGCTGATATATCCACCTACATTCTTAATAAATGGTTACATTTTTTTAAAAGAATTTAAAGTATTAACCTCAGTAAACCTAAGTTTCCTTATATGTAGAACAATCAAGTTCCCTTACTTGTAAAATGCTGGAGTAGGTAATCTGCATGTCTTTCGGCTCTAAAGTTATACTTCTAGAGCCTAGAAAATTAAAACTGTGGTATTCTACAAAAAGAAATATACATAAAATATCTACTAACCTTCATTGTGGTGAAGCAGCGAGTCATAAAACCCAGAAAAACAGGATGTTGAAAACTGAAGTTTCCTGTTATTCCAGAACTATATATCTCTTACTTGGATACCAGGAAGCGTCTGGTTGACTAAAACTGCCCACCAATGGGGTTCAATGTGACGTCAGAACTTAAGTGAATTCACAAGTATCCCACATTTCTTAACAGGAAACTACACAATGAAATGAGACAAATGCTTGCCACGAAGGGGGGAAAAACCCCGCATATTATGAGTCAATAAAATGTTTTGACTAAAGTGCTTCTCCAGAGAATGATAACAGACTATTCCTGAAATAGGAATGTATTCAACAAAAAGTAAAACCACAAAAAATCTTAGGGTACTGAGAAAATTTGTACTATGAAAACAAGAGGAAAGCCTCATAAGAACTTTTACAGAAATATCTCTGCAAAAATAAGTCAGCCTGTATCGAAGAATGACCAGGGCATTTAGCACACTAAATTGTCCTCTGGGTCACTCAGTGCTTAAGGAGACAAAAGCCCTGGGAGCCTGGCCCAGCTCAAGACCTAGCCACTGAAACTCTAAGAGCAGCACACTCTCACCCCTGGCTGGAATATGGAGCAAGCAGGAAGGAAGGAAACAAACACAGGGACACTTTTCTTCAGGTGGTATTGGGAGCATAATTGCACATTAGGATCTCCTGAACTTTACAAAACCAAGATCACTTTACAAAATCAAGCCACATCTCAGACCAATTTAATTAGAATCTCTAGGGAAGGGACTCAGAATCAACATATTAATGCTTTCCGGTGATTCTGAGCAAAGAAGGGTGTGAAGCACCTCCCTGGAGAGATAAGAAAAGTGTCCTGAGTCCTCTCCCAAGGTGGGCTCATCCCTCACACCGGTCCCTTATAAGCACAGTAAGGAGGGAACACTCAACACCTCATAGAAAAGTGTATTATCAAAAACTCACCCTCACGTTTACATTTAAGTAAATTAAATGTGCAGTAGAATAATCCAATCTTCTCAACAAAAATATCAACCTACTAGTATTCCACCAAAAACTCTTAATATTAAATACATTATTTTTAATATTTTACTTTTAATATAAACAATACTGCATAATGAAATACAACCAGGATAAAAGAGGCCCAAAGTACTAAAAACGGGACATAAAAATACTCTCTAAGAACTCTCCCTAGTCTTTTATGGGAGAAAAAAGGTAGGGTTGAACTAATGTGACAAGACTTATAGCGGGAAGGAGGCAATACTGTTCTGTGAGGACACGTAACCCTTCTGAACCTGAAGGATGCCCCCTCCTGGTTATAGCCTTACACAACTTACTGAAGCCCTCTAAGCCTCAGGTTGCTCATCCTTAAAATAGGAATGAGAAACAGAGAGGATACTGAGATGACAATGATGATGATAGGAAGCAGCAATGTGCAAATGCTTTGCATGTTCAAAAAGGATCAAGATTAAAAAATACTCTGAATCTTGCACACCAAGCCTTAAAGTTTCTTATAAAAACTGATCCATTAGCCGTGGCCGGTTTGGCTCAGCAGTTAAGAGTGTCAGCCTGTGAACCAAAGAGCTGTGGGTTCGATTACGGTCAAAGGCACGTACCTCGGTTGCAGTTCAGTCCCCCACCCTCATCAGGGTCGTGCAGGAGGCAACCAGTCAACGTGTCTCTGTCACATCGATATTTCTCTTTCTCTCTCTCTCTCTCTCTCTCTCTCTCTCTCTCTCTCTCCCCCCCCCCCCCTCTCTATCTGAAAATAAATGGAAAAATATCCTCGGGTGAGGATTTAAAAAAACAAAAACAAAAACTAACCCATCAATAATTACATTCTACCAAGGAAAACTCTTATTTGCTAAAATACAAACTACCAAGAAAAAAAATCTTCCTCGACTGATGTAGGTGCTCTAGAACACCTTAAAGACCATCCATAGAAGGGACTAAAGTCTCCACTCCACACGCTGCACACATCACAAACACACCCTGCTTCTGTAACACACACCATACAATGTACACACAGCATGTGCACACTGCTTCTGTAGCATACACCACATCATTCACTGCACACACTATACACATGCACACTGCTTTTGCAGCACATCAAACACTGCACACACAGACACACTGCTTCTGTAGCACACACACCACAGAGCACAGCACACAAGCTCTCTGATTCCAACCTCGCTAATGTACAACATCAGCAAAGAGTCCAGCTCATACTCCAACAGGAGATTGACTTACTCTGTATCAAAATACTAAGGTTTCCATCCAGAATTCCCAACCAAGCTGCTGCTTCTGACACAGACCCCTGCCTCCACACTCACCTTTCAGCCTGAACAGAGTTGGACTCTTTCACCACCACATGGCTTGTGAGGGGAAATACAGACACCAGCACGAAAGAGGAAGCACAACCCTACCAGCCTACACTCCAGGTCTGCTCAATGTTGTGGGTATAATGAGCTAACCAGTTGCCCCCATGAAATGCTTCTGTAGAACTATCACTCCCCTCACTGTCTGCCCAACACTGAATTATCCAATGCCTTTTCCCACTATTATCTCTCAGAGTGGGAATCATGGCTGACCTCACCTGAGCCCATTTTTGTAAGAGCCCATTTTTCAATACAATGTGAACAATGCACAATCATAAACATCCAAGCAGTACTGTCAACGAAGGTGGGGGTGTCGGGAAAAGGTTGTGGCTTTCTCTATCAACCAAAAAAAAGCTGAAAGTAAACTATTTTAAAGGGAAAAGTTCTAAAATCCAGGTGGATGAAAGTACAATTACAGGCAGAGAATTTAAAAGAAACATGCAAGTACAGACATGGCAGAATCACCTTCCTTTAACAGAAAAACAACTTTCTTTATCAGGGGAAAGTACCAAATACCAAGAAT